CCTCAACCCTCTTTGGAGTCCTGGGCAATACTTTTTATTGCTTCCAGTGCTCTGGTTTTTTTTTTCAACTTTATCTGGCCCTGCAAGTCTCCCAGTTCCCCTAGGGAAATCTCTGCCATGTTTGGGCCACCACCTGGGCAGATAATTTTTTCTCTGCTTCCTTTGATATTGCCCACCTTGGAGGGCGCCATGGGAGACACTGCCCAAGATTTGGAGACATTCCCAGGGAATTTGGAATAAAGGGAAGCAGGTGAGGCACAGCTCCTTCATAAACTGTTTTGCTTCCACCAGGAGAGGGAGAGTGGGAGCTGTTGGTCTTGGTTTGCTTTTCCTGGAGGAGAGGAATAGAGTTTGCTCTCTGGAGGTTTCTCCTTGGAGCTTGTGTGTGAAAGGCAGCACCTTCTGGATTCAAAAGCAGGAAGCATTTTGCATTTTTTCAGTTGTTTGCATGTGAAATTTTTTGTTTCTTTTATGAGGCTGTTTTTACATAAACAGCAGAGCCCCATGTACAGCACCTGTACCCTGCCTCTCCCTGTTCTATGAGCAGCCTGGGCATAATTAGGACATGCAAGACCCACTATGTACCCATGCTACAGGCATCACCTTTCAACCCAAGCTGTGTTGAATAAAACAGGTCAATGCACGCAGAAGGTGAGAAATGTCCCTCTGACCCAGGGTGTCTATCCAGCCCCAGTCTCTGTCCAGAGACTGCAACAGGAGGGACTGTCTTGGGGGCCCAGTTCCTTTTACAGTCCCTTCCTCCAGCACACCCACTTTCTCATCCTATTTTTAGGGGCTACATCTCTCTCAGACATTTGCATCCTTGAATTTGCCTAATCTCCTCTTGAACCTGCGGATACAGCATCCACAGCATCCTGTGACAGCAAGCTCACAGCTTTATGTACCCCCAGATTCTGGTGGGTGTTTGGCTGCCACCCTGAGTCAGTGGTTTTGAGACCCACCAGTGACAGCTCAGTGCATCTCACTGAGTCTTTAGGGTGTGATGGGCTGGCTGTGCCTGGGCACACAGCCGGGTACTGCAGCCCCCTGCATCTGCAACACTGGGCTGTGCTGCTCCTTTGGGTCCCCAGGACCAGCACTGCCTGGTCTTGGTCACTTATTAACAACCACTTTTTCTGTTTGGCCTTATCCTTCCCGTTACCTAGTTACTTCACTTACCTTCCTTTACTCCTGTTAGCTCTTTATGCTATGTTACCTTTGTACTTCTGATAGCTCTGGTTCCTCCAGCTGGTCCGCTGCACACTGGCACATGTGGGAAGCTCCCCGACAGCTTCAGCTGTAAAATCAGCCACAAAGATATCACTGACCTTCTCTGCTACCTTATCATCCCCACCTGCCCCTTTTATACTCTTGTCATCAGCGTTCCCACTAATTTCCTAGCTGCCTTTGTGGCTTTGTTATATTTAAAGAGCCCTGTATCAGCAGCAAGGCAATTTATGGATTCTTATTTTTAGCCCTGTTTATTTCCTTTTTAGTTGCCACCTGACATGTTTTATAGATTTCCCTCTTCTTAGAGCACTTTGGGCTTTTAGGGTTGGGTTTGGGGATTTTTTTGACTAGTTGCTGTAAAAATCAGTATCTTCAGCTCACACCCCAAAATGTGGAAGAGGTCAATTTTATCCTTCTGAGAACCCTTGGTAAGCAAAGCTGCTCCATCCACAGACACCAGACACAAGACTTTGAAGTGGAGAATATTACTGTGCTAAAAATGAAAGGGTGAAGGGTGGAAAATGGGGATAATATAGCAATTGACGACTTTGTATTTGCCAAACTTGAAAAATGGCATTCCTCCTCTCACAGGAGTGGCAGATGAGGCAGTGCTAGGCTTGCCTCACTTGCCTTGCTCTGATTTGTGGCCCTGGGCAATTGAACCCAAGATTTCAAGTAGGATCCCAGGTCTCTGGATTGTACCAAGGTTCAGTTAACCTCCTGAGCCCTGGATGAAGCCAAGGTGGTCTCCCCAAAACCAGGTAGGGACAGTCATGTTCACCATGGCACCTGCCTGAATCCCTTCAGCCTTCACCCTGAGTTTCCCTAAATGCTCTCCATACTGGGGGTTCCTGTTGGGGAAGCCATTCCTACTGAGGAGGTGAACAATTCTTGCTGGAGGAGAGGTTCATTTTCCCTTGCCTCTGTCCCTCTGGTTGTTAGGAGTGCTATTGTTCACCGTGAAAAGAACCAGCCATCAAACTCACAGTACAGAAGAAATGAAAAGTCAGGCCTCTTAGTCTGTAATAGTGTCTTACCTCCATTATTCACTCTTACTTGTTTATGCCTCCAGCCTGCTGCATCACATGCAGGATCTATGTGAAAACAGTCTCATAAAGAAAACAAGGGGGGGGGGGTGTTTTCACCAAGGGATAAACAGAAAAAATGCAAAGTGCTTCCTGCTTTCAGGCCTGAAAGGTGCTGGCTTTCACATGCCAGTTTGGATGCTGGGCTTTGCTGGTGATGGTGCGGAAGCAGAGTTTTAGGTCTCAGTTTTCAGGCTGGTTTCAGATATAAGCAGTGCTAACAACAGCAGGGCTGACCACCCCACCCATTCTTACCCAGCCACCTCGTTACATTCCTGTGGTGCAGCACCTCTAATGCAGCTGCCCACACTCAGGTTCTTACCCCACTGCCATCCCCAGCACCATATCCTTCCCCTCCCACCCCACATTGCTTGAGTATGCTTGGGTGTATCCAGATAAATGGAGAATGGCATGTGACTGAAGCTACCTAAATATCCCCATGCAAGTACGTGTTATAACCAAGCAAACCTCTATCCCAACTCCTTTAGCACTGTTTGGCACAACCTGTGCAGATGTGCCAAGCAATAACACTCTCTGGAGTAATTTTTGGTTTAGGACAAAAGTAGGTGGCAGACTTGAGTGGCAGCACCTCTCCACCTCCTCTGCAGGTCATGTGCCAGCAGAACACCCTGAATCTCAGGGAAGAAGATGGATGGGAGAATCCAGGATGCGAAACAAGCGTGGCAGATCCCTGGAGCCACTCAGCCTGCAGGCATGTCCTCACTCACATAGATGGAGGAAGGTTACACCCAGATCCCTTTTCCATACCTGGTTGGATTTTGAAGGATGGACAGCTGAAAGAAACAATGAGCCAAGCAGCAGCAGTCATAAAACACCACAAAGAGCTCTTTTCCATTATCACATTTCCCAGCAGAATCACACATTGTTAATAGCCAAAGAGAAGTGAAATATCTGAGAGTTTGCCCTTTCAGTACAGAATTCCAGTCCAGATAAAATAACTGTATCAGCCTTTGAAATGCAAAAGAGTAGGCTCTCTATGGTATCTGATAGCCTCTTCCCAGCATGGGCTAAATAAGACCTGCTTGCAGTAGCAGAAATTAGCTTTGAATTAGAGCAATGAAAATTCCAGTGCAGCTAAATGACACACACACCTGTCTATTTTTGCTGCTTTTGTTATCAGTAGCAGCAGATATCTGGATATCACACCCTCAATAAAGTTTTACTGCATTAAAGTTTCGTTTATCATTGAGCTTTTGGCTGCATTTCCAATCTCTATTGCTTTGCAAAAGAATAGGAGATAACACTTAAAGGCCTTTTCATGTGCCTCTGTAGCAGGTAGTTACTTGTATTTTAAGGATCCTCTGCCCTGTGTGGATGGAACCAGACCATTTACTTCAATAAAAAACCACGATGACCCATCCGGTGGGCTGTTATCTCTTGATTTAGAGAAATCTTTTTATTTGACTCCACATAACCCTAAGTTTCAGTCTGCTATACAAAGAAGGGGAGGAGGGGGTATTCCAGCAAAAGCAGACAGCTGAAGGAAATAGAAGTCTACACTCAGCTTCATGACTTTTTGTCAGTTCCTATCTATATCCTGTCCATTTTCCAGTGTCTCACACTGTGCAAGCTCCCCGAAGTGGAGTTTGCGTGGGGTTAATGGAATGCTGTTGGCAGCAGAACCTCTTCCTGCTGCTGAAAAATCAGAGAAAAGGGGAAGAAGGAGAGAACTTAGCAGAAGTGTTAGAAGCTGGGAGAATCTCCTTCACCTGGATTATGGTGGAGACACACGGGAACCAAAGAAAAAGAAGGGGGCATTAGCCACGCGTTAGACTGTTGGGGGAGGGAGCCGGTCCCCCTTGCAGGGCTTTATTAGCTGGAGGAAGGGTTAGGGTTAGAGCACTGAAAACATGCACGGACATCCTGGTAACCTCTACAGCCACATACAGTGTTTGCAACCACTGACTCCAAACTTGTCACCTAAGCTGAAAGATACTTCTTTTTTCAGCTGTGTGCCATTAGCAGCTGCCATCAAAGAGAGCAACTTGTCCAGCATTTTCAAAGGAATCCAGCTGCATTAACTACCCAGTTCCCACTGAAAACAACCACCAAGAAGTGGTGCCAGTCTTACAACAATAAACATTTTAGCTTCATTAAGATTTAATAACATTTCTGATCAGAACCTCTGAGTAAAAGCTGGATGCTGATGTAACCAGTCTGTGCACACTTGTGTCTAAATTCAGCACAAATTTTAACATAAAATACTCTCCAGACTTATAAAAAACCACTTACACCACTGGGAGCAACATAAGGAAGTCTTGGTACTGAGAAAAAATAATGTTTAATAGGAAAAGGTAATCTGCATTTATAAGATCCAAAACAGAAAATATAACAGAATTAAATGATGTTTTAAATGAATGTAATCTATAAATATATGTACATATGTGTGCATATACATTTTTTTATATATATATATAAAGGAAATGTTAATGCTAGACAATAGATAATGCACACTTGGTAAAATATGGATTCTTTTAAAGGTATATTTTCTGACCATATGTAAGAAATCAGGGGGAAAAAACCCCAACACCAACCAGAAGATCATTCAAATATAAAGAGAGCAAGAGAAAAAAAAAAAAAAAACTAACACTTTCCACAGGAACTGAGAATGTAAAATCAATGCAGTTGGGCAACAAGGAGAACAAAGTTGTTTGTTTGAAGATATTGTTTCTTGCCATTTTATTGGAAAGGAAGGCTGTGGAAAAGGTCAGACAAGTGCCATTGTCTTATGCAACATATGTCAACAGAGATCTGAACAGAACGCTTTCAGATAGGAAATACTGGGGGGTTGAGGAGGGTAAAGAAGACTGTATCTGATATAGTAAAAAACACAGTAGATTCTCATGAAAAACAGTTTTGACCTGCCCAAAGCCTTAGCTGAAATTGAGTGAGCACAAATAAAGGCAAAGCTCTGGATGCTGACATTTTTCAGCCTGGACCACCTTCCAGAAGAACTGAAAAACAGCAGGATTAAAATCCTGATATCTTGTATACACTCACTCTCTTGCCGATGTGCTGGTCTTCTCAAAGAAGTCTAATGTTTATTGAAGCTCATTAGTTCTTTTAAAAGATATCTTCTTCTTCTCCCTATCCCCTAACTACATTTTTGCCTTATTTCAGAGTTGTCCATGATCTCTTTCAAGTGGGGGTCTTCTTTTAGAAAATCTTGAGAGAATCTGGGATCAAGGACTTTGTTGTCTCCTCTGCTGAAGTAACTCCATTGGTGAGAGGCTGCGAAACTCTTTGGTTTGATCCAGTGTTGTGGTGGTCGTCCGTCCTTCTACGGCTCTTGTCACTTAGTATCTGCTCTGCATCCTAAAGCCCCCACGCTCCCGTGATGGTTCGTACTACAGAGAATTTAGACAAGAGGAGAAGAGAAATAAGGAGTAGCCCTAGGTCAGAAAGTTCCTTTCTCAGAAGAGTTCAGCATGTAGCACACTGCACGTGAGAGCCCCTTCACCGAGATACACCAACCCTCAAGGAAAACCAAACAGGCAGATTTGAATCAGTGAAAAGTAGACACCTTTGGAAAGTTAGAAATGCCCAAACCCATGCAAATCTGACCAATCAACTAACTACTTAGATGTTTTTCTTCTCTTAATTGGCAGCTTTTTAAAGCTGTTGTGTTTTTTTAACATCAAATATCCGGGCTGCTCCTGTCACGGTTTAGACCTCAATTCTGCAAAACATATAAATGTATTAAAATTAAACAGATTTTCTTCACTAAACAGAGGTGGTTTCTTGCACCATAGAGGTGGAACTAAAATGTCATTTACACAAGATTTGAACATAAAATGTGCTTCTTATTTACTTGACTACTGCTGAACCCAGCAATCAATCATATCGTAGCGTATACTCTAGGGAACCGAGATTATATGACTCTGGGAGAAACTTAAGGGGAGCTTGGCAAGATAAAAGCAGACATGGTGAGATGTATCTTTGTGTGTGGAGCTTCCTCTACAGTTCCCTTGCAGAATTCAGGGATAATGTAGGCTTTTTTTTTTTTTTTTTTTTTTTTTTTTTTTTTTTTTTAGAACACACCTTCCAGCTAATGACACACCTCTGCTGACCAGGCTCTTCTGGGCTACAGTAATGCAAAAGCTTGCTCATGGCACTTCACAGTTTGCCCCTTTGCAGTGCTGCAGCAGCTGCAGAGGCTTTTGCTGTGAGCGAGGCAGCAGCAGAGCAGGTGGGAGGACACCTACTCTCTGGGCAGCTGTCCCAGCTTAAGCTGTCTGTAAATGTGGCATGAGGCTGCATCTGGGAAGGGCCACTGCAGCACTTATTGACTCCACAACTGGCTTAAAAGGAGTGCAGGTGGTAACAGCCTGTGATGCTTGCAGGCACACCTGTGGTGAGCAGTGTTTGGTCAGTGCAGTCAAATGTCCTATGACACCGCAGATCCTGGGCAGCCAAGCTGTTGCTTTGACCCTTGCTTTTCATGTTTCCCTCCTGTGACTCGAGGATGACTACTGGGACTTTGGAGAGATCTTTATAAGTTGAGTGCTGATCTCTGTATTAAGGCAAAGTTTTCCAGCTGCAGCTACAGTTCTTTGGATGCCTTTATACCACTTTGGTCTTCTAGATGAAGGAAGGATGGACAAAGTGAAGTTTAGGTTCCAGCAGTGTCCGTAGCCCACAACACTATGCTCCTCTCTAGGACTTACTCTCTAGACCCTTTACCATGCAATTCCCACAGGTCTGTGTGAAACACTTACCAAATCATCAAAACCCATCTCTGAAAAACGACCTCTATTTGTGGAAGGCATCTCATATGGGTTGTTTGGCTGATATCCTGGGTTTGCATGGCCAGAAGTGGTCTGGACTCTGGGGAACATCATGGTCGGTCTATCATCAGAGATATCTCTGTTGGAATATTCTGACTTTATCAGCCTCTTCTTCTCTGGATTTTTTTTGTCCTTGGCTCTTCAGAGGAAATGAAAGAACAAAGGAGGTTTTAAAAGATTATTTATTGTGCCTTACTTATTAAGTCAGTCAAACTTATTGAGTTGTCCACTCCCACCTTATTTTGAATTCTCAGTCCTGTTCTGAAACGTGCAACTGATTTTTATAGAATACCTACTGCATAACCCTTGTTATCATTGTTATAATTGTAATTATTGTAGTAGAGTACGGAGTTTGGCATCCTTTCTCACAGGTGAGGCAAAGCTGCTAGGAGAGACAGAGGGGGACTTTGGCCTCTTTCAGCTAGTTCCTAGAGTAAAGGAGTTTCTTTCAACCACCACTACCTCCAACTGACTATGCAGAGGAAGAAATAAGGCGTTCATTAGACTAGTTAAGAAAAGGTGCCCTCATGCCTGCAGCCAAAGCTGGACACACACACTTGGCCAGCTTGTGCACCTGCTGGTGAGCATTGTGTGCTGTGGGTGCAGATGTCTTGTAGGCATCTTTACCTGGGCAGCATTGGGAGCAAAGGCAGAGCAGCTGCTTGAGTATTTATTGTGTGGACAGATGTTAGGAGGTGCAACTGCAATCAGACATTTGCCAGTACACCGGGAATAGCAAGCCTTAAGGAGATGCTTGGCTGAGAATGACACCTGTATGGAGCTGAAAAGGCCGTGCCAGGCCTTGAGCTGAAGTGCTAGCAGGGAAAGCTGCAGAGGGTCTGAATTTGGGCCACACAGTCTTCTGATATCAGCATCCTTCTTCAGTCTTATCCAGATGCCATGTCAATACTAGCTAGGGCAGGATTATGACTCATGGATCAGGTGTGTATTTTGAAGACTTGACTGAAGCTTTCATAGCTGAATTCACAGCAAGAGAATAAATGCTTCTTGGAAGTGCATATTGATAAGGGCATTTTCTGATGACTGTATGGCTTAAGTGAACATGTCTGCCCAGCTAGGTCTGCAACCACATCCACAGCCCTGCTCTTCTCTAAATTTCTGCTTAGTTCTCTATGAACATGCAGCAGTGCAGCTTCAATTATAAGAAATACTCTTACCTTGCTGAAATTATAGAGACTGCTATCACTAGAATCAGGATAACGGCTCCTAAAACTGTACCCACTATTATAAGGATGAGTTCAGTGTCTGGGGAAAACAAAAACAGCAAACAAAACCCATCAATGTATCAATTGAAAACTCATGGTGAATATTGAAAAACAAGTTCTGTACCTGGCAGGGAGGGAGGGAGGGAGGGAGGGAGGGAGGGAGGAAAGGAGGGAGGAAGGAAGATATGAAAAGATGTCATTTATTCCCAGGCTCCTTGTGCTTACAACTCTCTGTGGGCACAGAAAGATGTAAATTAAGGATCTGCATTACAGACCATCTCTTCTGAATGCTATTTTGATCACAGCTCAAGTTCCTGATATCATGCACTGAGTGGTTCTACGCGTAGTTATAGCTGAGGGACAAGAACAACTAAGAGGGTGCAGGGGTTCTTAAGCTAGTATTGCTGCTAAAATGTGTAGTTAGGTATCAGACAGGCTCTTTCCATGCCCTAGGCACATAAGGCATAAGATAAATTTCACTCCTTTTTTGTTTCCCTAACGTTTCCCTGCTATAAATGCAGAACGGAGGCATGCCTAAAGGCTGCTACTTGTAATTTTTTTTTTTTTTTATTTCAGACAGATTAAACATTGCCAGGTATTATTTTCCACGTTATAATTAAAAATCAGAAATTCTTGTACTTACTGTCAGTGCAGTTCTCCCCAGAATAGCCCACTTGACAACTACAGGCGAGAAAAAAGAAAAAGGAAAAAAAAAAAGATAATGTCATTAAACAGATGATCTTTAAAGTCCTTTCTAACCCAAACAATTCTATAATTCTATGATCACAGAACAATAGTATATTTCCCCCTTTTGTCAGTAATTTCATTGCAAGGTGTGTTTATTAAAGGTTTCCTCTTAATATTGAACTCTTTACTTTCATTAGAGTAAAACAATCTGAGATTTTCAGAATGATTGGTGATCTGGGCACTCAAAGTTTCAGATTCTTAGTCTGACAAACGTTAAAAAGACCTAATTTTTCTAAAGAACTGCCTAATTTTTCCAAAGAAGTGGCTCTGCACCTCTGAGACACTTGAAATTGCCACACATTGTCTTTATCAAATGCCTCAACGTAAGGTCTGTAAGGACTGAGCACTCATCTTCTTCCCATACTAGTTTCTTGTATTTAAAATATATCAGCCTTATGGTAAGAAGTGTTCAGTGTGCAGCAGCAATAACTAGTAAAAGAGCTGAATTAATGGGCATGGGGAGTAAGGTCCCCCTGCTTATCCACCAGAGCAGAGCACAATCAGTCACTTGGCTTTACCAGCAAACACCACCATTCTGCTCTGATCCTGAGCTGACAGAAATAACCTTAGAGAGAAAACCAAGATGAAACAACATAGGTCTGAAAGTTATGAGGAAACAGTCCCCACTGGTATCAGTGGAAACATTCCAGGGATTTGATGCAAGTCTTGCTCTAATGCCCGTTGCTTACTAAACACCTCAGCATACCAGTTGCCATGGTCCAGTTACTCTGAAGGAGTAGTTTGTGTTTATGCAGTCAAGTAGTTTATCCTCTTCACTGACTCATGGGTGACCCTGGGCCTCCTTGGCTTTCCTCTCAGGTATTATGAATGCCCACAAAAAAACAATGCCATAACTTGGGACACTTTGGGAATTTGTCCACCGGTGAACCACCTTGGGCATCTCTCTGATTCACACAGCTGCAGCCTGTTCCTCTAGACTGTGGCTGACCCCATGTTAGATGTCCCTCTCCCCTCTCCCCTGTCTTTGCCTAGGACACAGGAATGCAGTAAGATGCTGAATACTCACGGTATGCATTCTTCATCCCTGTATTTAAAGTTAGTCATGCATGTGCATGCTGGAATCTCATTTCGTATTGTGCAGTACTTGTTTGCTTGTGTAGAACAGCTTTCACTGCAAACTGTATTTTCAGGGGGAAAAAATATGAGTTAATTGAAGATAGCCCCTCCCTTTAAAATCAGTGTTAAAGGTAGCCCCCTCTGCCCCCCCCTTTTTTTTTTTTATTGCACTGAAAACACACTCAACTCTCTCATTCTTCAAAGCACCAGAATGGCTTCTTTAGGACTATACCTATGTAGACCAGAAGCTGAAATACAAAAGTACAAAATTAGAAGTGAACTAGCTTTGTTTAAAACCATTCAGCTTCATCAAAATTAAATCTATCTAGGCTGCATCTTACATAGGCAAGCAATGACCTGCAGTTTGATCTGACAGTAGATAATTTGTATTGCAGCTGATCTAAAGCTGGATCAGATTTAGACAGGTTAGGGGCCACAAAGGACTACACTGGGTCACATCTCACTGGGCTTTATTGCAGGCAGCTTTCATAATTTTATCATGGGTGTTTGAAATATTTGTTGTTTTTCTTAAAATCTCATATCTTAGACTTTTTTTAGTTTCTGTAGTGTAAAAATTTTAGTTTCCATAAGAAGAAAATAAGGTATATTGCAGGGCTTTGGAGGATAGCTAAAAATATAAACAGAGCACCCAGTAAAACATTCAAAACTGTAAAGAAAATAAAACCCCAACAACTGACAGTTCCTAAAAATCACAAAAATAATTCTTTCCACAGAAACCTGTCTAAATCCAGGTAACGCAAACCTAGAACTGTGAACAGTGAACAGGTCGTTGTAGTGCATCATGAGGGTTCTAGTTCTGTCAGCCTTCCCATAGCTGCCTTCAAGTAGCTTGCAGAATTTATTCCCAAAATATCTACTAGCAGAGAAGGCTGTGAATACAGGATTCAATTTGTTCCATCCTTTACCTATTTAGGTTTCAGTTCCTACCAAGAGCCTAACAATGTATTTAAAGAATTGCCCACTCACTGGTTTCAGTGATGATTTTGTCAAGCTTTAGTAGTTTATTCTACTGGAATAGAATTATGGATGTGTGAAATGTGAGAACGTGTTTCTATGGCTTTTTTTAATAAGACATGCATTCCCTGATATTTAGAGGTCAACACATTTGAGCAGCACCCTTTTTCAAAGAGGGACTGAGACAGGGAATAAGCAGGTCAGACTTTCAGGGATAGATAAAGTAGCAAAGTTCTTACCTGAACAAGAACGATCATCCTGATTTATCTTTCCTAAATCTTTTTTGCATTTGCATTCTAGAACCGGCTCTTCTACACACTCTGAGGTTCGAGTATCACATTGAAACACATCACATTGGTTCACCGCTTTAAAAGAGAAATAGGGAGCAAACCTGAGTACTAATAATATTTCACAGAAAGCAGTGCACTCACCTAGTAAATCATAAACTGATTATTTAGTAATTCTAAAGAAAAAAATGTGTACGTTCTTTTTCTGGCACATCAATACTGCAGGTTTTTGGATCAACCATTTCTTTTCCCTTGCTCTTTACCAGTTAAGGTCGTGTCTCCATCATACCTTCTGACTTCCTATTTCTCAACCTCCTACAACTGTCTCCAAACCTTCCTGTCTTCCAGTCTATGAAAAGGGAAATTCTACCCATAAGTTCATATTCTGAACACTGAATTTCTGACTCACCTTAAAAAAAAAACTACAGAAAACCCTGTCACTATTCCCTTAGTTTTTTCCACAGCTGAACTGTGAGGCCCAGATCCCATACAGCTCTACATAGATTTAAATATTTATGGGCAAGCAGCTCATTTCATGAGCAGTGTCAGTATCCTGTTTGCCCAGCACATTGCTCTCTAGATCTATGACCCAGTGGTGGGAATGGTTCAAAAACCTCAGTGCCTGGCGCACATTAGAGGTACGTGCTGGTGCTTTGCAAGCTCTCAGGTTTTATTCTGTTTCCTTCTCACATTTAGGAACAGAATGCAAGAAATGTCATGGTGGAGGTAGATACATTCACCTCCACAGACCAAGCTCAGGCTGTAAGTCATGAAATGGACACTTTTAGTTGTTAGCTATACCTTGTGAGAAAGCTGGTTTCAAAATGGGATCATGTTAAAAAAAAAAAAAAAAAAAAAAAAAAAAAAAAAAAAAAAAAAAAAAAAAAAAAAAAAAAAAAAAAAAAAAAAAAAAAAAAAAAAAAAAAAAAAAAAAAAAAGAGAGAAAAATCCATATTTCATTTAGGAAATAATTCTCCAAGTAATTTAGTAATGCAAGAATTTACTGGTTTAGATCAATTAATCACTTAGCTCTGTAACTAATATGTGAGGCCTCATTTCAATTACCACAGCTAATTATAGAAGAAGTCCAAAGAGAGTTTCATCCTATTTTTCCAGTAAAATACTGGCTTACTCTCAGAAGCACAATATTTGTCTGTATATATTTTATCCTGATTTTTCCCACCACTTAACACTCAGCAGGTTAAAATCACCATGCCATTGCTTACTTGGGTATAAGTATTTTCCTTCTCTTCTTTCCACACAGGAAGTAGAAAGCCTTAGTAAGACAAAAAAGCCTAGCGCTGCGTGGTTGAATCTTCAAAATTACACAAGACTGAGCATTAAGCTCCTTAAAATCAACAAGGCTTATGCTTTGATGGGCTTTTATGCACACATAAATCCTCCAACCAGGTCTGAAGATAGAAACCTCTGTTTCTGCTGATTATTTACTTCCACAGTAAGAAGTTACATACCTTTGTAGGACAGATTTGCATTTATTGTTTGCATTACTGCATTAGAAACTGATGTCTTGTTCACATCTGAGTTCTCCTTAAACATGTTTATCACTTTTACGTCTGTTTGAGGCTCAGCTCTGATATTTTTTGGAGGTCTGAAAAGTACACATAGTACCATTTAAAAGTTTCATATAATCCATACGGATAGCAAAGACAAGAGAAATTTTCAGCCAAATCTCCCTCTCTCCCCTAGCTTCTTTCTTCCCATGGTGTAGGTAATTGCCAAGACACCTGAAAACGAATTTAAGTCTAGCTTAGGAATACATTAACAGCCATCTTTGCAGTAGATCCAGATATAAATAGGTAGCTGTTGGATTTAATGCTATCAACATTGCTCCTTCGTGTGCTGTTGACACACAGCTGACATTTTTTAACTGAGCTAACCTCAAGTGACCTGCAGTGTGGAGGACCTTATCTGTTAAGCCCTAACTTTCACATGCTTGCATCAGCCTGTGGTGTCATCCAGGCATGATGTGGAGAACCCATCCTGAAGCATGGTGAGGATAGTTCAGGATATGACCACAGTGAATTCTGAAGGGTCTGTTTGCAATGTAGAAGGATCTATGCCAACTGCTTAGGAACCACTCACAAAGAAGCTGGCAGAACTCTGGGGACAGTAACCTCTAAGAGATGGGGATGGGAAGAAAGGGACATCCACCTAGATCAGCAAAGGACCTATTTCCACAGCTACAGTCACCACAGCTCATTTAATTTAACCTGCCATCAGGAGGGACCAACAAATGCACAGTGAGATGCATTTTGTATGCCTTCTGTAAAGAAGGGTGTTTTTTAAATTAACTGGGAGTCTGAGTGGGATCTGCAAGTGTGCATGGGAACCTTGAAGTTAACTGTTACAATTTCAGACATGTCAGATATCACAGGGGACTGCTAGTTATAGCATAGTGCTATATCCTACATGGTGCTAAAAGTAGGACATCCACTGTGGAGCTGTGTCAGCCAGCCCATGTCACAGACATTTTGGGGGAAAAATGGGGGCGAGCATCCAAGAAACTTTAAAAATATGAAAAGAATGTCCTTCTTTAAGGGAAAGCATTCTGAACTGAACTCGTCCCATATTCTTTATTGAACTGAGTATTCCATGGGAAAAGATTAAAATGGGGTGTGTGGAAGCATGTACTGTGCAAAAACAAACTGGCAAACTTACATAATTTCCACGATGACAGTCTCTACATAGCCAGGTAAACTTCCTAAGGCCTTTTGAAACTATAAAAAAAAAAAGAATCATGGTTAAGGGCAAGCTGAAACATAGACCAAAGTCACATGAACCACCGAGGCTTCAGATGTAGAGTTTTAATCCAGAACATGCAACCATAGGCCCAAATCAAGCAAGCTGATCAGTTATATACACTCCTAAGGTGTTGCAGAAGAGGAGTAGTGGGGTGGTGCTGTAGAATATGGGAGGACAGGGAATATGGGAGAGCAGTGGAGGGATGGATAATGAATGTCTGGCAGTGCATTAGGATAGCTGGACTGGACTGGAGTGGCTGGATAGCTACAAACACTCTTGCAAACTCATTGCTTAGGAGGGTGTCTCCATGGTACCAGTCAACAAGAGAGAAGAGGGAGAAGTAGGCATCCTTTTAGATGGCACGTGTCCCTAAGATGCAGTGAAGTGGAATCATAAGGGGTTGATCTTGTGGGGAGAAGCTGGTGAAAGCACTGGGAGTGGAATGAAGTCAGCAGAAAAGTCACTGCTCTCCCTCATCCCATGTGTAGCAGGGAACAACTAATGGTGACAGCTGCCTTCAACTGCCACTCAAGCAAGAGGCACCACAAGAAAAGGATAAGATGTCTAATTCAACTGAAATGAAAGATAAACTATCTTTACAATAAAATTAAAATAATTTTCTATGCTATTTTCACTTTTACATTCTATTACTACATTATTCCTATTCTAGTCCTACATATCGTGTTCTTCTCTTGCTATGCCATGAATAAATGCTGGACAAAAAAATTGAGGAAAATACTTTTAGACATTCTAGAGGAACAATTTTTGGTCACTTTCTGATAAAACATTCACAGGAAGCAATATAATAACAGTCAGAAATTGATAACCAGTTTTGATGATTTCTGATTATTATCTGATGAATATTTTTTGATCAAATGTCTACTAGAGGTGTCTACTAGTTCTTCTTCCTTACTACCAGAAAGAACCATAAGCAAATCCACTTGTTTCAACACAACAGCATAACTTAAACTGTTCATCTTATTTTTCCAGGAAATCTATTACCAGATTTTGTGCACAATCATAGAATACTCAAAATGTGTAGTATCCATTTAATTAACAGCATTAAATATTAAAATAGTAATACTGGTAGGCTTATGGAAGAGTATTGTTATTCAGGTATTTAGAAACAGCTGAACAGACATTCTGAAAAGTTTGTGCTGTGTGGAAATGATAATTTTCTTTAAAAAAAAAAATCGTTCATTTTTTACTCACACCCACTGAGTATTATTGAGTCTCCAGCAAAAGTGGAGTTCAGAAATTCAATAGGCTGGGGAACTTCACTCAGCCCTGTTGTGTCTGGAGGGGGACTGGTGAAAGATGCAGACCAATTTATGTGAGAACTCCCCAGAATGAAAGTGGTACCAAAAATGCAGACATTACTTAAATCAGATACTTCACTTCAGTGAGAGTCATCTGAGGGCAAAATTCAAGTCTTTTACGATTAGGTCTAAACTAGTACGGAGAGTTCTTCAAAAGAAGTAGTTTTCTCAAATGAAACTCTTCTAGGCTCCACATTAAAGGCAGTGTGTGTCCTCTCTGTCTTCATAACACCCAGTACAACATGAAATATACAGAAAAAAACCAACACTGTCACTCACAAGTTCTGATACAAAGTTGAACAGCTCTTCATACTCCGTGGAATTTACAATCTCAACACTATCACTGTAATTTCCTTTCACACTAATGAGCCCTGGGTATACATCCCCTGAAATGAGAAGAGAGAATATAAGTTAGAAAGCATTCAAGAAAGTGAGGTTTCACCTTAAGAGTTCTCCAGCTTTCAGTGATGGGGATTTACAATGCGGAAAACCATCAGTGCTATTTTTCATATACTGGAGGGATCAGTAGGGGACAAATGTTTGCTCAATCAATTGAGTCACAAAGGGGGATTTGCTCTGGCTACCTGGGAAGAAGGCAGGATCCTGGGCTCAACCAAATTGTCCTGATTAGGAAACTGAATAACACTAAACTGTCAGCATGGTCTGAAACTGAAAGACTCTCTGTGAGGTGTTACAGCATTTAATGAGAAAAAACGTATATTAAGGACTCCAAAGCTGCAGCTACTAAGCAGCTAACATGGTTCACCATATTAAAGAAAGTGATTGAGTGTCAACCTGCTTCTTAGGTCTCACAAGTAAATTTGAGAGTCTTGCTTGCACTTTAAATAAGAAGCCCTATTTGCTCACACACTTGGCCTTCAACAGCATCTCAGAGACGCATTTCAACAGGTCTGTGATGAGTGTTTAGCAATGGGGAAATCAATCCGGTTTTTCAGAGGTCTTCATGAGTTTGGCCTTTTTAAAATCTTCACAACTGATATCAGTCTCAGGTTTACACTTGCATTTTTTCCTGCTTTCCACTCATTTCAGTCTCTAGCATCCCTGACAGAGAACTCACCTGTTCCTAGAACATTAACCTCTGTGGCTATCACTGTTTTGTGAGATAACAGTCTAGGTCATTGTAGCAGTGGCTGTCTGCAAAGCAAGGAACTGCTCAGCAGTTACTTTCCCAGATTGATTATGCTTTCAGTTATAACATGAAAACTAGGGATATGGGAAGAAAAATTCACCTGAGCAGGTAACTAACTAAAAACAGAGAGGCTCTTCTGCAACTCACCTTTGAAACAATTCTTATCCTCCTTGCTATAGTAGAATCCAAATTTGCACTTGCAGGTATAACTGCTTTTTAAAGGAACACATGTAGCAAAGTTTGTTCCACAAGGTTCTGTACTGCAGAAGTTCTCTGATACAAAAATGAAAGATTAGTATTAGAAATACTAAGAAATACTTAGAAATACTAAGACATTAGTATTTCTATGAAATTGCAATAGCCAGTGAATATAAATTGAATAGCCATGAATATAAAGTAACTCATATATTGAATAGTTCCTGTGTACTTCTACTAAAGGAATCTACCAGACATGGTTTAGAGAGTATAGATGCAATTACAGATCACAGAGCTGTATCTTGCTTGCTTAATGTCCATATAGTAACTGTTTACCATTTAGAATCCAGCAGGATATCACTGGAGGGCTGGGAGTATGGCTGAATTTCATTATCTGTCATATTGAGCATTCACAACTCAACTCTATTTAATACAACTAAAACCAAATCAAACAAAGAAAGCATATCAAGGTTTGCCAAAAGCAGCAGAAAAAGGCAGACTACAATAGCCTGTGAGTCTTTAATACTACACTGGTACATACTCGCCTTATTATGACCCAGTGTTGTGGCAGGGTCCATTACTGCAGACACATTATTAAAATGAGGATGCCAAAATTAATTATCATGGTATATTTTCTCTGAATAATTATACATTCTGTAAAGATTTTAGAGTATATATTTTATATCTATCACTAATTTAAATGGTTTAAAGTAATTAAAAGTCATATTTCAATGTAAATTATGCAAAGGGTAGTATTACAGTTTCCTTCTAAGACACCAAATTTTGCATTTCACCCTGTCTGGTATCTTTCACTTAACTCCGTAGGTATGTTCTCATAGATAAGACATTTTCTGTGCAATGGGGAAAAAAATAGTAATTCTTACTCAACCCCCAAAAGCAAAACACTTAATGAAGCTACAATGCCTATAAGGTTCATCTCCAGATATTGTTTCCAGAGACCCTACTGAAACCAATCTTTTTCCTGATGGAAGAAATCCCGAGTAGAAAGAAACAACACTTATGAAATTGTCTACACTCAGTTCATTTTCAGCAAAAGCCAGCAGGGAACAGTGGTGGGGAGACAGAGCATTAAATGGGGACACCTTATCTAATCTAGAATGTCCTAGAGGTATAGGGGAGGGTGGACCTAGAAAGGAAAGATGCACAGACCTTCAGACACGGCCCCTGGCTTCAGCCCTGTGCTACTGTGTGTCCCAACTCCCATCCTGCCTGAGCTCCAACCAACCTCAGGCAAAACTCCCTTAAGGATGCCAGCAGGGACTGCCCTGGGCATGTCTTTGAAGGGATCCTCTTGCACCCAGGCCTGCTGCAGGAGGCAAAAGCAGCATCAGGAAAACAGCAGCCTCCAAATTCACAGCCTTCCTCTGGGCACCTTTGCCTCGTCTGGAAGAGGATGTCAGGGAAACCTGAGCAAAAGCACTCATCCCTCTCTGCAGAGCTCCCTGGTACTTGGGTACTCCAGTCTCCTCCCAGACAGGCTGCCTGAAGAGATTGCTCTTTACCTGGAGGTTTTGAGGTGGTATTCACTGACGGGGCAGGCGTTGTTACAGTTTCATTGTTGCTCCCTGATGAAGAGAAAAGAAGAAACATGGCAGCACTGTTTAGCACTGTTGAAAAAGCCTTGGGGAGCTCTGTGCATGCAAGACAACCTCTTAGCACGTAGGTGGTGGGGGACCTGTGAGCGGCTCAGCAGCCAAAGCCCTGAACAGTCCTGCTCTGCCTTTGAGCATGCCTGCATGTGATTCCTGTGTCATCTGATGTGTCCCTGATCCCTTGTCCCACAACTGTCAGGACATGAACAAGCATCCCACACAGACACTGCATTGCTCCCAGCTTAGCTGTGCTCCCTGGCCACAGCTGTCTCAGCCACAGCAACACACGTGTTCCTCTTTGCAGGAAAGCTCCCTCCATCTGCCCAAGGAAGAACCACAGGGCCAGGAGCACTTTCAGAAAACCTCAAGCAGGGCCATCAGGGTCATACAGCCTGCACACCCTCCACTCTTCATAGGGGCCTTCTCCCCAGGATCATTTTGCTGAATGAGCCAGAAGGTCATGATGCTGAGCAACCATGATGGGAAAATGGGAAGCTGGCAGGTGGGATGCAATCCTGTAAGCTTCCCGTACGGGAAGAGCTGAGGGACTGGGGAAGCTGCTCCTCCTCTGCGTGACCCCAGCAGGAGATTCAACCCAACACGGTGGAGCTCCACAGTACCACACTGGGACAGGCAGCTTGGCCAGCATGGAGGATGACAGGGACTGCACCCTCGTGTCCAAACAGGGTCCTTGGCCTCAGCCTCGTGCTGCTGTGCAGCCCAGCTCCCTCTCTGCCTGTGCTCCAACCAACCTCAGGCACAACTCCCTTCAGGGCACCAGCAGGGGCTGCCCTGGGCATGTCTTTGTAGGGATCTTAATGCACCCAAGCCTGCTGCAGGAGCCAAAGCCAGCAAGAAGGAAAATAGCAGTCTCCTAAAATCTTCCCAAACACTTGCTCCTTGAGGCAAAAGCAGCAGGGAAATGGGGAAGAGTCATAGGTATTCATGGCCATTATAAGGGAACCTTTGTGTCCCCTGGGAGAGGATTTCAGGGAAAGCTGGGCACAATCACTCATCCCTCTCTGGGGGCACTGCAGAGCTCCCTGGGATTCTCTTACTCCAATGTGTCCCCAGAAGGGGCCACCTGAAGAGATTGCTCCTTACCTGTATTATTTGCGGTGGTATTCATTGATGGGGCAGGCGTTGTTACAGTTTGGTTGTTGCTTCCTGATGAAGAGAACAGAAGAAACATGGCAGCACTGCTTAGCATTGTCTGTTGGAAAAGCCTTGGGGAACTCTGTGTGTGCAGGACAACCTCTGAGCACATAGGTGATGGGGAACCATGAGGGGCTCACCAGCCAAAGCCCTGAGCAGCCCTGCCCTGCCTTTGGGCACTCCCTGCATGTGGTGCCTGTGTCATCTGATGTGTGGATGAGGGCTTTGAGCGTATCATTATCAAATCTGCAGATGATACCAAGTCTGGGGATCAGTGTCAATCTGGTGGAAGGCAGGGAGGCTCTGCAGAGGCATCTGGATAGGCTGGATCGATGGGCTGAATCCAACAGTATGGGGTTCAACAGAACCAAATGCCGGGTCATTCACTTTGGCCACAACAACCCCCTGCAGCACTACAGACTGGGGTCAGAGTGGCTGGAGAGTGGCCAGGCAAGAGGAGCTGGGGGTTCTGACTGACAGCAGTTGAACATGAGCCAGCAGTGTGTACCCAGGTGGCCAAGAATGCCAATGGAATCCTGGCCTGTATCAGGGATAGTGTGGTCAGCAGTGCTACAGAAGTGATTCTTCCCTTGTACTCAGCACTAGTGAGGCCACAAATCGAGTACTGTGTCCAGTTCTGGGCCTCTCAATACAGGAAGGATATTGAGGTACTGGAGCAGGTCCAGAGAAGGCCAGTGAGGCTGTTGAAGGGACTGGAGCACAAGCCCTCTAAGGAGTGGCTAAGGAAGCTGGGGTTGTTTAGCCTGGAGAAGAGGAGAGACTTTATCACTGTCTACAACTCCCTGAAAGGAGGTTGTAGCCAGGTGGCTATCAGCCTCTTCTCCCAGGCAACCAGAAGTAGGACAATAGGGCACAGCCTAAAGCTGCACCAGGGAGGTTTGAGTCAGACATTAGGAAGAAGTTCTTGACAGAGAGAGTGATTCTGCATTGGAATGGGCTGTCCAGGTGGGTGGTAGAGTCACCAACCCTGAAGGGATTTAACAAGGGACTGGATGTGGCACTTGGTGGAATGGTCTGGCAGACAAGGTAGTTTTAGGTCAAAGGTTGGACTCAATGACCTCAGATGTGTTTTCCAAAGTAATTGATTCTGTTATTCTGTCCATGACCCCTTGTCTAATAAATCACTGGACTTGAACACGTGCCCTACACAGGCACTGCATTGACCCCAGTTTAGCTGTGCTCCCTGGCCACAACTGTACCGGCCAAAGCCACAGACGTGTTTCTCCTTGCAAGAAAGATTCCTCCACCTACCCAAGGAAACACCACAGGGCTGGAAGCAACTGTCAAAAAACACGGTCCCTGGCCTCAGCCCTGCACTGCTGTGTGGCACAGCTCTCTCCCTGCCTGTGCTCCAAACAACTTCGGGCAAAACTCCCTTCAGGACGCCAGCAGGGACTGCCCTGGGCATGTCTTTGAAGGGATCCTCTTGCACCCAGGCCTGGTACAGGAGGCAAAAGCAGCAGCAGGAAAACAGCAGCCTCCATATTCACAGCCTTGATCTGGGCACCCTTCTCTCCCCTAGGAGAGCATCTCAGGGAAAGCTGGGCACAGATATTCATCCCTCTCTGGGGACACTGCAGAGCTCCCTGGGATTCAGTTACTCCAATGTGTCCCCAGAAGGGGCCACCTGAAGAAACTGCTCCTTACCTGTGTTGTTTGAGGTGGTATTCACTGATGGGGCAGGCGTTGTTACAGTTTGGTTGTTGCTCCCTGATGAAGAGAACAGAAGAAACATGGCAGCAGTGCTTAGCATTGACTGTTGGAAAAGTGTTGGGGAGCTCTGTGCCTGCAGGACAACCACTGACCATATAAGTGGTAGGGGACCAGTCAGGAGCTCAGCAGCCAAAGCCCTGAGCAGCCCTGCTCTGCCTTGGGCATTACTGAATGTGATGCTTTTTTCATCTGATGTGTCCCTGAGGCCTTGTCCCACAAATGCCAGGACATGAACAAGTATCACACACGGATATTGCACTGCCCCCAACTTAGCTGTGCTCCCTGGCCACAGCTGTCTCAGCCACAGCCACACACGTGTTCCCCCTGGCAGAAAAGCTTCCTCCACCGGCCCAAGAAAACACCACATGGTCAGGAGCATCTGTCAGAAGAGCTAGAGCTGGGCCATCAGGCTCATATAGCCTGTGCACCCTTCATGCCCTGCAGGAGCTCTCTCCCCAAGATCATTCTGCTGAAAGTTGGAGGCACAGGGTCATAGATGATGCTGGGAAATCGTGATGGGAAAATGGGAATCTGGCAGGAAGGGTGCAATCCTCCAAACCCCCCATGCAGGAAGAGCTGAGGGACTGGGCAGTATCTGATCCTGATCCCAGCAGGAGCTTCAACCCACCAGAATGGGGCTCCTCAGCACCACACTGGGACAGGCAGCTTGGCCAGGATAGAGAATGATAGGGAGGGACTGCTCCCTGATACCCAAACACAGTCCTTGGCCTCAGTCCCATGCTACTGTGTGGTCCAGCTCCCTC